GCAAACTTCATGAGCTTTGCCATATGTGCTGTCCTAGAAACCCTTTTCGCCAGCAACACAACAAGGTCACAATGAACACGCACTGCTTACCCGATAGATGAAAATTGACCTCGGGGAATGGACCCCCAATGGTGTTTATGGTCAAATCACTGTTCTCTGCCCTCCTTGTAAGCGAGGTTTCTCGTTTCGATGCACACCGCTATAACACGCGTCACACAATCACCTTGTGTCGTGTCTGGCCACGCCCGTCTTGACATTTTTCCTGGTACAATCACGTAGTTTGAAGTGTGTGCTCCACATCTTTGGATGTGGGTTGACTCGATGAGATCGAGTAAAACCTTTATCTACCCGCGCCGCGATAGACTGGGGTGAGGAAACAATTAGTCTGCGCCAGGGTCCAAATAGCCCGACATGTTATCGCTTTGCTTGACGTACTTGGCCTGGGTCAAACTCAACCGGTAGATAGACAAAACATATCTCGAAGCGATGAAGACGGCCACCATGGCGTAAAACGTAGTAGCAACCTGCGCAGAAGCTTCAGATAGTGCGAAAGAAGGTCAGACGTTCCTTGGCCTAATTCTCCCAATGCTGAGCTTGAATGGGTTCCAGGTGCTATCCAGATGCCCGTCTGTCCAATACACACGTGGAAAAATTGGATGACAGCCATCAGATCATCAGTAATCACTTTTGTTATGTTAGGACCAACCTTCACACACATGCTACACAGTATCATGCTGAGCAGGTAATTAGTGGTTATCTCTGTGAATGGTGTCAAAAGCGAATGTCTCACAGGCGACAGCTAAATCTGCAAGCTACCCCATTGAAGCTTTCGCAAGACCAATCAACGGGGACATGACACAGAAGCTGCACACGGCTGTTGCTGGCATGCGTACGATGATGGTTTTAAAAGCCGTCATGGACGACTGGTCTCCATAGCTGCATGCGGAGCTGGCCGCTCCTTGGGTCATCCGTGTTCGGAACAGGGGATGCCCCTCTCAAATCTCTCCACTGCGGCAGCGTCCATCAAGGGTAGCGAGTTGTCGTACGAGGTTGGCTGGAGAGGGAGGACTGGCAGGGCCAGACGAGCCAGATCCTAAGTAATTTTCGGCACAGAGGGACCGACCGGCACGATTACAACCGTGGCAATGTCCTTCTGTCCTGTCGAAGTGGCTCTCGCGACTCGCACGTCGTATCCGCAATGGCAGCGCCGAAGTATCGCCTTGAGGTGTAGTCTATTACTATCTTTTTAGACAAAGATCTGGCAGCTAACAGGTGCTTAGAACCTAGCACCACAAAGCAGGAAACAGAGCGGAATGGAACAGAGTTGTGCCTTTGGGCGCAAGATGAACGACGTCGCTTGGCAGCCAACTGTGCAACCCTGGTCGGCGATCTAGGTCACAGCGAGATTCTGGAACGGCCGGTGTGGCGGGTAGCCAAACTACCGGAGAATGGATACCTACGTAGAATTCGTTTCTCGTGCTGTCATGGAAGGTATCCGTAGCTGGAGATAAGTTCCATGCTCCAGCAATCCAGGTCCCAAGGTGGGTTGACTCGATGAGATCGAGTAATACCTTTCTCTGCCCCCGCTGCGATAAACTAACAGAGCTTGATGCGACGCTGCATTATCTTAATCGCATCGTTCGTCGATAAGGACCGTTCGCCAGCCAATCACAGCGCTTGCAGTGCGCCCACCCGGGGAAGCCGTCTCTCTTGCATGGCTCCTGCACTGATAGCGACCTGGGCACTGGGGCATTTCCCCGGGAAGGAACCATCCAAGAACGCCATCGAGAGGTTTGAGAGGGTAACATGCCCTATAGCAGCCTGGAAGGAGGCCGTAAGGTTGCCACTAACGCCTCGTTCCCCAAGCCAAGCAATCCACCTCCTCCACCATCAACAACACCAACTCCGGCGACCTTCTGGTGCAACCTCCACATGCAGAGATACTACGTACTACCGCAACCATGTCCCGAACGCCTCAAGGCCTGTCCAGTCCAGGATATGATCCATGTGGGGGTTTTGCCCACCCTGTCTCTCATTTCTCGCATAGCTCAGCTGCCATGGAACGGACGGTGCTCGCTGGGCTTCATCTGACATCAGGCCTTCCATTCCAACTAGTAGAAGCTCGACTTTGCACCGACTACCTCTGCCCGATACGCACTCGCACCCCCGGCGGCGCCCATTCTGCCCTGCTCATGCCCCGCGCGGCCGGCGGCCACCCCAGCTTTCTTCCTCGGGTGGTTATCACAACGCCCGGGCCTGGGAGTAGGCGATGAGGCGAGTGGGTTGATAACCATGCAGGCGATAAACGCTCTGCTTAACTGCTTAACGGATGGGGCCCAGGAACAAGCTACAGACAGATAAATACCGACGATCCCCTTCCCTCAACCGTGGGTAGTGGATTGAAAACAGCGGGGATTCAAAAGACGGTACCACCAACGCATTGTCATTGTTCGATATAAGTCTGCCCTCGCGCACCTGTCGACCTCGGGTGACATTCCATCCGCCCCTCCACGTCACAACCCGCCCCAAACCTACACGGGAAGTCTATACCATCAGCAGGCACATATCCCCTCGCTGCAAGGTTTTAGTCATCCTGCCACCGCATTGTAGAGGCATATAGCTATCTTTGCCCGAGAGCTTCTTCTACCTCCATTTTTATCTTCAGCGTCCCGCCCGTCGCCAAAATGAGTTCGGGTCCCCGTCTCAGGACATGGGCCGACAAGCTCGCCGTCGAGTCGGAACCTGGCCTAACAAAGGCCCAGCTTATGGTATGGAGAATCACTCCAGCTCGGCGTTCAATTGAGGACTTCCTCGTGCTGACCTCCTCTAGCTCACCAACCATGACTTGAAACCCGTCGAAAAGGAACGTCGTCAATGGGGTCCCTGGAACTTTGTCGGCTTCTGGATTGCCGACTCTTTCAACATCAACACGTGGATGATTTCTTCGTCCATGATTGTTGGCGGTTTATCATGGTGGCAAGCATGGATTTGTGTCTGGATTGGCTACACCATCACTGGTATCTTCGTGGCCATGAACGCCCGTTTCGGTGCCATGTACCACATTGGTTTCCCTGTTGCCAACAGATCGTCCTTTGGCATCTGGGGCAGCTTGTGGCCCGTCTTCAATCGCGCTGCCATGGGTAAGTAACTCTCGATATCGCCATCGAATTGGGATGCTAACATTCGTAGCCTGCGTCTGGTACGGAGTCCAGAGCTACATCGGTGGACATTGCGTCTATATCATGATTCGCTCCATCTGGAAGTCCTGGGATCGTGAAACCATCCCCAACACCTTCAGTGAGAACTCCGGCACCACCACCGCCGACTTTGTCTCCTTCTTCCTGTTCTGGTTTCTCTCTCTTCCAGCGATTTGGTTTCCAGTCCACAAGATTCGCCACCTCTTCACAGTCAAGGCTTACATCGTTCCTTGCGCTGGAATTGCCTACCTTGCCTGGGCCGTCTCTCGAGCCGGCGGAATTGGACCCATTATCAAGCAGAAGAACACCAAGCATGGCAGCGAGCTCGCATGGCAGATTGTCAACGGCATCATGTCCTCGATTGCCAACTTTGCTACACTGATTGTTAACGGTAGCGACTTTTCTCGATTCGCTCGCAAGCCTTCGGACGCCCTGTGGTCTCAGATTATTACCATCCCGTTTGGTTTCGCACTCACGTCCTTCATCGGCATTATCGTCTCCTCGTCTTCGACCGTCATCTACAACGAAACCATCTGGGATCCCCTTGCTCTTCTCGAGAGGTTCATCGATGATGGAGGCTCTGCTCAGCGATTCGGCGTTTTCGTCATTGCCTTTGCCTTTGCCCTCGCCCAACTTGGTACCAACATCGCCGCCAATTCCGTCTCGGCTGGAACCGACATGACGGCCTTGTTCCCCCGATACATCAATATTCGCCGTGGTGGATATATCTGCGCTGCTATCGGTCTGGCCATGTGCCCCTACAACCTCCTTACCGACAGCAACAAGTTCACTACCTACCTCTCCGCCTACAGTGTCTTCCTGAGCTCCATCGCCGGTGTAATGGTCTCAGACTACTATATCGTCCGAAAGGGTTACTTGGAGATCAAGGAGCTTTACGACGGCCGCAAGTCGGGTCCTTATTTCTACACCTATGGTTTCCACTGGCGCGGATATGTTGCCTACATTGCCGGCATCCTGATCAACGTGGTCGGGTTCGTAGGAGCTATTGGCCGTGAGGTGCCTATCGGTGCCACGTACATCTACAACCTCAACTACTTCTTCGGGTTTGGCATTGCCCTGGGCACGTACTGGCTCTTGTGCAAAATTTCCCCGATCCCAGCAACAAGTGATCGATGGATGGAGGTGGGCGATGAGATTGACGATGTGCGAGTGGGTTACAGTGCTGACAGCCCGACTTACGACGAGGAGCATGTGACTGGGGCGGATACCAAAGGAGTTGACGGATATCCAAAACAGTTTTGAGGGGTTTCAAGACATATCTAAAAGGTATATATTGTATACTTAGTGGCAGTAGAGAGTAGACGCTTGATTTCAAATGATACCACGTCAGCTTCTGTTTAGAAGTAAGTTACCACGTCTATTTGGCTTCGCAAGGAAACACTCAGCCACCGTGTCTCCCAACCCCAGATCTTAACTACACAACAAATCCACGAAGACTGAGGTGGGACTCTGCATACGACAAGGTTGTTTGCATTAAAGAGCCGTAACTAACTCCGTTCTGCCCCTGTCACGCTCGTGTCAGTGGGGGAGCTCCACGGTCCGCCTACTTCAGGTGTGGTTTGAAGGCCGCCATCATCGCCCTGTTGGCTTAGTGGCAAAGCGCATCACTAGTAATGATGAGATCACTGGTTCGACTCCAGTACAGGGCAGTCTTGAGGCGGTTGAGCCGATTCCCTTTTGCCGTTGTGGTGTTGTCTTCGCGGACGACACCGCTTCGATTTTTGCTCCGGACGGAGCTCCGGACTGCCTATTTCGGTAGCGATTCGGAGGCCGCAATTCATCGCCCTGTTGGCTTAGTGGCAAAGCGCATCACTAGTAATGATGAGATCACTGGTTCGACTCCAGTACAGGGCAATGTCGAGGCATTCGAGTCGACTTCTCTTTTGCAGTTTGTGGAGGAGGCGGGTGAGAAGTGAGCGTGGAAGAGGGTGTTCTTTTTGGCGGTGGTGGGGGATCGTCAGGCACGTGATTGAGATAAAGGCCGCTCATGTGTGCGGCACTGTGCTATGTAGCAGGTCGACGAGTTGGTGTGCAACCACCTTCTGCTGACTTATGCATGGTGACGTTAAGAGAGGCGGGAGGATGGCACAGCGAAGATCCGGCGGGGAAGAATTGGAGACGTGATGTCTGTGTTGGACAATCGAGATGTGATACTTGTACTGCGCTGTACATGAATCCTTACTGCTCGACGACGATTACGACCGAGTGACGTTATTTGTTTTTCGCTTGCGTAATGAATGTGTTTTATGTCCAGGGTCCGTCAGAGTTACTTACCATCATCCATCACTGCCCAGAGCAAAAAGCGAGACACGCGGGCTAGCGTCAATCCATCAACACCAACCACTCCAAATCACCCACTACCACCCAGCAAAAAGAGATGTTTTCAGCTTGCTTCAAGAGTGCCCCGTACTGGAATCGAACCAGTGATCTTATCATTACTAGTGATACGCTTTACCACTGAGCCAACGGGGCTTTTCCGCTTGAACTGATGGTGGAATGCGGCGGAAAGGGGGCATGTAAATGGCGCATGGGCGTGGAGGGATACGCGAGACTAGTGTCGCAGTTGTGGATTCGCCTGGGATTCAGGATGGGAAAGTTAAAATGCAATTGGCTGCTGCGATAAATGAGAGGAAGGGTGAGAAAGGTATGTAAGACAAGTCCATGCTTGAATGAAAGGTATCGGACGATGTCCACCAATGTCGGTCAAAGAAAGTGTAAATGACTGTGTGGTCTATTAGCTACCTACCTACCCTAGAATTCCTAAAACCACCGACCTGGCTCCATACCTAACCTGCCTATCCTTTCCACTCGTCATTAATTATCCATTACCTTCTTCGTAACTCGATGTAGATTCGTAAAGCAAAGTCGCAAGTAAGGAGTGTTGATGCTTTTGACCCTAGCCGTTCCCTGCTGAAGCCCCTTGAAAACCCATATGCCTTTTCGCATGCAATGCCTGTTAGTTTTCCGTCCCGTCCCATCCTATTTCCAAATTAAACTTCTTTTACCAACCCTTTTTTTTGTTGCGATGTAGTGTCCTTTTACTCTTGGACGCCGTGAACCTCCACAGTAGTATTGTCTTTGACCTCACCGACATAGACAACAGTAGTAGAGTCGGACTCTGAGTCCGAGTTGGACAGGTCGGACTCTGTCTTCTCCACCGGCCCTTTGCAACCCGCCTTGCCAAGATCCAGGAAGAAGCACATGATGAGTGCCACTCCTCCGATCCCCACTCCAATCCAGAACATGCCCTTGTACTGCGTCTTGACACCCATCCCCATGTCGTTGAACTTGCCCAGCGCCACAGAAGTCACGGCCAGGAAGAACGCACTGCCGAGGAAGATGGTGATGTAGATGAGGGCTCCCGCCAGGCCCTGGTGGTGCCGCGGCAGGCTGCTGGTGAGGAAGACGTTGCCCACCGTCCAGAGCACGTCAACGCAGGCGGCCTCGGCGAGCATGGCCGGGAACACCCACGCCCAGTAGTTGGGGTTGTCCGGCATGAGGGCGAAGAGGAGGACGGCTAGGACCTTGCATGTCCCGGAGACGACGAGGAGCACGCGGCCGGGGAGGATGTGAAGAAGTAGGCCGCTGCAGATGGCGAGGACCAGGCCGCCCGCGGCCCAGGGAGCGAACCATACAGCCGCGGTCAGAGATTCTTTTTTCAGGATGGAGATGATGCTGGGGTGTATTAGTAGACAAAGACACGAGGGAATCATAAGAAACTTACTAAAAGTTTGAATAGAACAGAAAGATGGCGTAGACACCCCAGGTGAGAAAAAGGGTCAGCAGCATCTGCTTCATGCACTTGACCTGGAAGATCTCAGGCGGGATCAGGGGCGCCGAAGCCTTCCAGCCCTCGACATAGACAGCCGCAGCCAGGAAAAGGACGCCGATGACGAGAGACACGATGATCTGAGGCGCCGCCCAGCCCAAACTAGCCACCCGACTGTCCGTGATGGCATAGATGACCAAGATGAGCCCGGGAACCATGGTGCACAAACCCCACCAGTCCATGCCAACACCACTCTTGCGAGCCTCAGCGTAGTCGCGCGGCGCAGTCAGGAGCGATCCCACACAGCACGCCATGGTGACGATGGCGCCGAGCCAGAAGTACCACCCCCACGTGAGGAGCTTCTGCGACATGCCGCCGACCATCATGCCCAGGAAGAAGCCCAGGGGCGAGAGGGCGCCGTAGAGGCTGAAGACGAGGTTCTTGCGAGGGCCGGGTCTGTAGATGCGGCCCAGCAGCGACATGCCTGCGGGGAGGAACGCGGCGGCCCCGAGGCCCTCCATGGCCCGGCAGAAGATGAGCATCAGGAAGGTCTTGCTGAAGCCGGTGATGACGGTCCAGGTGATGAACCAGACGATGCCGGCGTGGAAGACGATGTATCCTCCGTACATGTCGGCCAAGCGACCAAACGGAAACAAGAAAGCGCCCGCCATCAGGGTTATGACGCTGGATGGCCATGTGCGAGAGGCTTCAGGGATGTCGAGGGGGTCGATCAACCCCGGGAGGACAACCTGGAATCCTCCGATGAAGAAGTCCTAGTAACAGCATCAGTGACAAGTCCGGCATTGGGTGATAAGTTTCACGAGGACATACCGCCATTGATAGGCACATCAACATAGAGCCAACGAACACGGCCTCGGTCCACGCCGACGAGAACACATCGGGCCGCTTCCGACCCAACTTTTCGACATCGAGTTCTTCTGGTATGTCGTCCACCGCAACCACAATGGGCACGGCTTTGGAACTGCTGTCTTTTGGCATGGTTCAGAGAATGGCGGGAAGCTCTGACACGATGAAGAGGATCGGGAGGACTGGGTCGAAGATTGGAATATATGAAAAGTTCTTAGGACACCAGGGTTGCTCAAAGACTCAATAATATGGGCTTTCGATAACTCAAAAGATGAAGCTTCAAGAGGTGCTCAAGCTGGCTCTGACTGTCTCTGATTCTTCCCTCATATCCTACATCCCTTTCCAGCTCTTTTTATACTCCTTTCTGAGGTCACTTAGCCTAGCTAGCAGAGCCGACATCGCGATATCTTGCGGCCTCACGGTACCCAAAAAAATGGACCAAAAAACGAAAAACCCAGCCATGATGGTGAAAGAATGGGGAGAATAGACGAAAGCTCGCCAAGGTGAGAGCGTTAGCGGTGAGGTCAACGCACGAGATGTTCCACGGTTCCCTCTTCGGGCAGCATCGAAGTCTGGCCATCTCCACCTGGTTGCGACGCGTTGCCACCGCTGTGTCATGGTTAGCGAGATGGTGGGAGGGCCAAGAGCCGGGGGAGAAAAATGTGTCATGGACCCAGTTTGCGTCGTCGTCGTCGTCGAGCAGCGCGTGCGAAGAGAAAGAGAGAGAAAAAAAAAAAACAGTGGTTCAAACTATCGTGAGGTCTCGGTTGTGGAGGTTTGGGGTCGATCGATCACAAGGGCCCCTCGCTTGTCCTGTCTGGCTGCGCAGGATGACAGCTGATTTCCCGTTTGGGCGATTGTGTCACCTCTGGCTGGATGATGGATGATGGATGGAAACGTGCTAGGGCCTGGCTAGGACGTGCTAGCGAGAAAGCGAGAAAGAGAGAGACAGAGAGAGAGACAGAGAAGAACGCCCAGAAGCAGAAAAGGGAACAGAACAAGCTTTCTGCGGACGCCGGGGTTCCAGCAGCACCGTGCCAGCCGGCTTGGAACAGAGACGCAGGTCCCGAGAAGCAAGCGGCTGCACGATGTGTCGTCTCTTTTCCTCTTTCGGTGGCGTCGGGCTCGGCCATGGTCGGATTTTCGAAGGGCCAGCTTACCATCTCAAGCGGGGGGCCGAACCGAACGAGAGCCGGGAGCCAACAGAGAGAAGAAGGCGGTTCGAGCTATTATTATCGGATAAGTCAGGCAAGGCAAGGAATTTAGACTAAGCACGAAGTACCCGGCCGACCTTGACCAAAAGGCGATTGATTACATATACCACCCAATCTCGGTGCTAGCACGTCTTGTCGAGTCATGGGATCCCTCCACCACTCGACACTTATCATTAGTCTAATGATCTACTGTCTACCTAACTGACAACTGTCTACTGTCTACTGTCTACTGCCTATTACTGCCCACTGCCTACTGCCTACTATCCTACCTATCTGACATACAAACAAACAAACAAAACAAACCCTTCCTCGACCCCTCCCCCGGCCGTGAAGCCCAACAACGGTCAACCATTCTCCCCAGGTCCATGACCATGACGGTCTTGTAGCGCAGCGCCCGCATTTTATTGCCCCATCCTTCCCCTTCCCTTCCCTTCCCCTTCGTTTCTCTTCCCCCCCCCCCCTCCAAACGCCTGCTGCTCGGACAGCGCTCGGCGCATGCCGCCAAGCAACAGCAAACCGTGTCACAACTGCCGTCGTCGACGCCTGCGCTGCGACCGCTCGTGGCCGACATGCCACAAATGTGCGGTCTCGGGGCAGGAATGCCTCGGGTATGGCAAGGTTTTCGTCTGGACACAGGGGATTGACTCTCAGGGTCACGTCAACCCGCCGCCCGGCCGGAGAGTAGCCGATGAAGGAGGTGGTGGTGGCCCGGCGGCAGGCCAGGGACAGCCAGACCAGCCGCCTCCGGATGCGATGCCGATGTCGACCGACGAGGGTGTTGGTGTTGGTGGTGGTACTGGTATGCCGGGCGAACACCACCAGCAGCATCAGTACCAGTTCCAGCAACAACAAAGACAACTCCAACACCACCACCACCACCACCAGCATCACCACCACCAACAGCAACAGCAACAAAACCAGCAGCTGCAGCTACCCTGGCATCGTTCTCCCGCACTGACCGATCCCCTGTTCCAAGACCTCGACCACAACTCGCGATACTACCT